CATTAACATGAAAAACTACTTAAAATTCTAAACCATCTGAGGACAAATTGTGTCCTTAATCAGTCAAGTCAACAGGATTATTCTAGATGTGTCCTTAAGGGTAGTAAAGATGGGAACCTGCTCAAGATAGAATTGTTATTCCTAAATAAAGACAAGACCTTAGGAAGTAAATTTATAACATTTTAGCAGTGTAGAGCTGATGCCAGGTATTTGTAGTTGAATTTATTTTCAGAATGCTGTTTTATTTTTCTTAATCTACAAAAAGATTTTTTTTTAAGAACTCTAATCAAATGTTTGGAGTTTGCTTAATTAGTATTATCCTAGTCATGTGTATAATTACTATGCCAGTTGTGGTTTGCCCAGAGAGTCAGCAGTAGATAATCTTTCAGGTATAATGTGGACAGAAGATCAGTAAAACCAAAGGAAAGTTCCACAGTATTGTTTGGGAGAAGTCAGATAGGATTATTAAGTAGGCTTTCTAATCAATAAGTGGAAGTGGGGAAAAAAATTCTGTTAGAGATTCTTTGCATCTCAAACCCAGCCTATTTCCAGACAAGCTTCAGCAAAGTTTCTGTTGCATTCTTATGTAGGGACGTGCAATCCTGTGGTTATGCAGGGGTTGGTACAGCTGGAAAACAATAAATACTCTTAGGACAGATAGTGAAGATCAAAAGAAGATGATAAAGCAAATTTGCTTCTGGTGTTTGGCAACTGGACTCCAGAATATAGGAAGGACCTGTGGAGGTGCTCACACTGTGAGACAGAAAAGTTGCTGTTGAACTTTTGTGTCATCAACAGGATTCCAGAGAAATCATAAATGAAAACCAGAGCAGCTGATGGCTAGTGTTACTGCTTCCTGATTTCCAACAAATCTTTTGAAACCATTGCCTATAACTGAAAATTTCACTGGGGCAAAGGTTAGGATTCCCAATCCTTGGCTAAAAACAACTCCTTCCATTTTTAAGTTTTCTCAAAGATAAAAGTCAAGAAATGTGCCTTGGTTTAGCTTGAAGCCAGCTGAATAAACCTGTATCTAAAAAAGCTGATGCATTTGATGATTAAAACTTACTACATTTATTGTGTTTTAGGTGTCTTCTGTTAAACCATTGACTCAAATTATTTAATGAGGGAGTATCTCTGAATTTCACAGTACTATAGCCTTTTAGTAGTTCTTGGTTTGAACAGCATTCTTCCTTCTTCAGTCCTCAAATTTTTGTATATAGCATGTTTAAATATACAAAGTTCCTGCTCATACTGGTTAATTTAATCTTTTTTGAGTAAATAAAATATAAAATGGATTTTTTTTTTTTGAAATTTAAATAGCATGTTTTCCTCTGCCTGCCTGCTGTGAACAGGATTGAAATGGAACATTTAATATGGATATAATATTCTAGCAAATTTAGATTTTTGTTTTAGCAAGGTCTATTTGGAATCATCATTATTCTAAAGGAGTAGTAGAATAACATAAAACAAATTAGTACTTCAGATAATATTTGAAATCCTAACATTTTCATTTGGAAGACTACGTGGATCTTCTTGCCTGGTCTTTTCACATCAGAAGTGATAATGAGAAAAATGTGGTTTAGTACAGGGTTGTGGTAAAAATTGGAAGCATTTTAATTTCCCCATTTAGGGAAAAAGTTGAAGCACCTCTTTTAAGTTACACCCACAATTTTATCTTTCTCTTCTTCTTAACACTTATTAGTAAATTATTTTCTAGTGAACTAATTCTGAACATTTCTTTTGTAATCCAAATTCAGTATTAGGTCAGCACTAGCTTTTGGGCTGGTATTTTTAAGCTGTAATAATACAGCTGTACTCTGACCTAGAAACCTATATTGATTTGATAGCTGTAATAAGTCTTTTTTTAACATCTGTCTGAGCTTTGTTTTACATGCGAGTATTTACTTGCAATTGAAATATTATTATACATAAATAATATAAAGGTTTGGAAGAAACATTTGAGAACACGTTATGAGGCTCAGTGGGAAGTTGTTACTGAAGGGAAGTGACTGGATCAGTCTCTTCCTTGGAGAAGCTGATACAGCAGGTAGCTGCGTTGTGACTGGCTAAAGCTCTGTCATGGAGCTCTGGAGAAACAACTGCATTCAAAAAAGACTTAGTTCCTGTTCACAAATCAGAATTCAAAGGCTTTCTTTCATATGTTGTGCAAGGGTTTTCAGAGAGTTGGGGTGTTCAGCCTGGAAAAGAGAAGGTGACCTCATAACACCTTCCAGTGCCTGAAGGAAAGCTGGGGAGGGGCTCTTAGCAAGGGCATGGAGTGAGAGGACAAGGTGATGGATCAGAACTGGACAGGGAGAGATTTAGGTTAGACATTAGGAGGACATTCTTTACTGTGAGGATGGTGAGACCCTGGCCCAGGTTGCCCAGGGAAGCTGTGGCTGCCCCATCCCTGGAAGTGTTGAAGGGCAGGTTGGATGGGGCTTGGAGCAACCTGGGCTGGTGGGAGGTGTCCCTGCCCATGCAGGGGGGTTCGATCTTGATGATCTTGAAGGTCCCATCCAACCCAAATCAGTCTGTGATGCTATGATTGTATGATTCTCCAAGGAGGCAATGAAGTTGTTCCTAGTTAATTATTCAAAAGTAACTCCTTTGGGTTGTCCTTTTAATTGTTTTCCAGATACCATAAACTGCAGATTTCAGCAAGTGATAAATTTAGATACAGCACAGTAGGAAGTTTTAAAAGCCAGCAGCTTCTGCAAAGGATTGTCAAGAACAATCTGCAAGGAGACTAGTTTTGGCATATAGATTTTGAGCTGAAGCACCACAGGAAAGGAAGTGCTACGTGCCAGCTCTCACCACCATATGCTTCATTGTCATATAATGCAAAAGGAATATGGAGACAGCAGCTGCTCTGGAGGGAGGTGGCCACTTGTTAGATTTTGAAACAATTCTGAAATGTCTGTTTTCTTTTCACGGGTACATTTTCCTTTGCTTACTGTATTTGCATTCAAAAGCTGTTCACAAAAAGAAATCTATTTTTAGACCTCAGTAAGAAGAGGAGTGTGATCTACTTTTTCTTGAAATAGGAATAATTTTAGAAGGACTCTAGTATTTAGTTTTACATATTGTGACATGTGGGTAGATTTCTATTTTCTCAATATCCATTCACATCAGGTTGTGATGAAATAGTGTTTATAAAATAGCTATTGTCTAGGATTGTATGTCTTTGATGGACAGAAATGTATGTCTCTTACTGGTTTCCAGTTTGTGTTTGCTAGTGGTTTAATCACATTCACATTTCAGTCAATGTCAAGACTTCAGGGGCAGAGGAAACTAAAGCTTAAATGAGGATTTAGATCTAAAATGGAAAGAGTTTGATAGGATACACAGAGAAATCTCTTCCCATCCCTTCCCAGGCAGTACAGCTGATTACTCTGTTGCTTTGAGAAGCCTGAAGATCTTTGTGTGTTTCATGACCTGTGTGCCTGCAATGTCATGAAACTAACCTAATTTATTTAAACCTATAATTTAAAGTCTATTTTTTTTACTGCTGAGATTTTCATATCCACTGAATGTAACGATTCTTCCAGATACACAGAACTACAAGTTCGTTGTTTTAAATTAGGGATTCTTAAGTGAATTTGAGAATCCAAGGGGAAGTTACATCACAGTATAATGACATTATAGCAGGGCAAGTTGTTATAGAACATAATAAAATTAATATATCATATTAACATTTTTGCTGAGTGTCAGTATTTTACACTGACCCTGGAGTAATGCTAAAATGTCATAGCACCACAAATGTGACTCATACAACTCAGTAAAAATGATGATTCACATAAAATAAAAACATTACAACTCTTTTGGAACGATAAATCTCTTTGAGACAGAGATTTTTGGATTAATATGTATTACTCACCCTAGATGTATCTTTGAAAAATAAATTACATTAATCTGTCACCCTGTATATGTTTTCCTGGTGATAGATGGTGATTATGGCAAAATCTGTTTATTTGCTTACTTGAGTTTGGGACCAGTCTATTATTAGCTAGCTGACCTTCACTTTTTAAACTGGCTACAATTGGTGGTTATCTGGAATACTGACTTGCTAATGCTTACTTATCATCCCTTTCTCCCTTTTTGTGGCCATAATTATTGCAAGAATTCAAATCTAAGTAGGATTACTGATGTGTAGCTTTTATCATTCCCTACATTACCCCTCATCACTGAAGTTACCAGCAGTGTGTAGTTGGGTCACTTTAGATCAATCTGGAATCTTGACAAGACAGAAGTGTTTTGTTTGGAGTGTATTACACTTTCAAAGAGTTTGTAATTGAAATGTGTGTTTATATTTTGAATGGGAAGGTAAAAACTTCTTTGTCCCTAGAAGGACTGAGAATTCTCAGGAGTCAGATAATTTTTAGCCTACTCCATTGTCTCTAACATATAAAGCATTTGTTGTTTGATGCAGCAGAATCAAGCATGGTAATTCTAGAAGCAGGTACCTCGATGTGCAGGTTGTTGGAAACACCTTTTTCACTGAGATTTACTGTTATGATTAGATGCAGATTTATTTTTAACTTGAAAATGCCTGGTAGAAGAACAAGGACACATCTTTCGTTGGCTCCCATTATAACCATGAAAGTCAGCAAAACAATACAGTTCTAAGCAAGTGAGAAACAGTTACACTCTGTGACAAATGAGAATTATTTTTAAGCTTAAATAAACTTACTTTGTTTTTAATGATGTATTGCCTAACCATAGCAAGCTATTCAACTGCCAGTGGCTAATTGAGAAGAAAAGAAATGAAAGAGGCCACATGAAGTTACTTCTCTAGAGAAATTTTCCTCACAATGAGAATGGCTACTACAGCTCTGGATTTTTTGACAGCTTTTAAACATGAGAAGACAGATGATTGCAGAGTTAGAGTTTCAGATCTTAAACTCTGCCCTGTAACTTTGTTATCAGCCGTTCAGAAATTACTGTTACTGCTTAGCATCAGAGAAATTAATACCTAATTTTTTTCTTCTCTTTAGCCACCGGAAAAAGAGGGTGGCCTGCCTCGCCAGGTAGGCAACAAAACGGAGTGTGGCCTCTTGGGGTTTGTCCTGGATTTGAAGCAGGATTATGAGCCTGTTCGGAGCCTCATCCCTGAGGAGAAACTCTATAAAGTTTATACGTTCAACTCTGTCAGAAAGTCAATGAGTACTGTCATTAAAATGCCAGATGGGAGTTTCCGAATGTACAGCAAAGGAGCTTCTGAAATCGTTCTGAAGAAGTAAGTGCAATGGGTTAGTTGCTGTGTGTATCCAAAATGCAAATCATTCTGACACTACTAAGATATATGTGGGAATTTCAGTATTTGGAATTTGCTATTTACAGTAGAAATACACTTCAGTAGCATGAGCTGGTATTGTTCTTTCCTAAAATATATATTTTTAAGTGACTCTTGCAAAACTGCCAGACTTTTCTTACAGTCAGTAGTTTACAAATGGATTCTTTGCTTTTAACCCATTTGGAAAAAAAAAATCTTTTCAATTTCCATTGGTTACACGAGTATTGAGCAAAGAATGGACCAAGGGATCTTGGTGTCTCTGCCATACATCACAAACAGATTCTCTGTTATTTTAGTAATGAGTCTTCTTGTTTAATCTAGAAACTTAGAACTTGCTGTCAAAGAGGGAAAGTGTTGAATGGAACGAGCTGATACAAGGAAATACTTTTTAGCAGCCATGCAACCACACCATAAACCTTTTTTTTTTTTTTTTTCCCCCCATAAATAAAAAAGATGTTCTAGGATCCTTAATGCAGCTGGTGAACCTCGTGTCTTCAGACCACGTGACCGAGATGAAATGGTGAAGAAAGTGATAGAACCCATGGCCTGTGATGGCCTGAGAACCATCTGTGTTGCCTTCCGAGACTTCAGCAGCAGCCCAGAGCCTGACTGGGACAATGAGAATGACATTTTATCTGACCTGACTTGCATCTGTGTTGTTGGCATTGAAGACCCAGTAAGGCCAGAGGTATATCAAGTCCTTGTGTTTTAAAGCACGTCTCAGACAACTAAACATACATTGAACTATAGATTTCTTGCAGTTTTTATCTTTTTTCTTTTTTTTTCATTAGCTCTGTCAAAGGTGATGGAAGTGAACCTTAGAAATAGAATTTACTTGATAAAAAGACAAATAATTAACTTGATAAAAACCAGCTCTTAATCAACTGAAATTTAAGTATAGCAAAATAGGGCTTTTAAGCTCCAGGACTGAGGTGACTTAACCTTCTCACAAGGAGGACCATAGAGGAGGGCTGATCAGCAGGAGTTCTGTTATGCTCCCAGATTCTAAGGAATTTTCTTGGAAGCAATGCAGTGTTGTGCAGCTCTGAAAGTAGAGAAAGGACACGCAGGGATTGAAATGGCCATGATGATAACTCCATGCACTTGCTTTCCACAGAAGCTGCACAGTCTTGGTATTTCATGTTCTACTGCTCTTTACTTATTGCCTTAAGACTGTAAGTGGTGGCTACTCAGGATAACTGCTTTTAATGTTGTGTTGGGGCAAGGAAAAGCTTTTCCAGGGAAAGGCTGCAGATTGTCTTCATACCATAATTAGATGGCTAGTAAAAATACAGCTGAAATTTCAACTCAGCTGAGAAAATCAGTAGTAGGTAGAAACTTTGTTTCTGACCTGTGTGTATGGGTGTATGGTGCCTGGTTATTAATCTTGACAGTGGAAAATAAATTCAAGTTTACAGTTTAGAAACAGCAACAGAAGGTAAGTCCCCAAGTTTGAAAGTGCTGAGCAAATGCAGCTATTTTGTTCTTTGATGCTTTTCTCACTGACTCCATGGCTGCAGTGGTGGGATCTGGGAGCACCTGCCCCAGCTGCTCCTGCAAACAAGGGAACAGCTATTGCTCTCTTTTCCTCCAAGAAATCCACCCTCTGATTCTGCTGTTAGTTCACTAGGTGGTCAACGACTGTGCTTTGCTTTGGAGTAAGGTCATTGACAGATAACTCAAATTTCTCTTACAAAAAAGTGGGGTCTGATGCTGCAAAAATAAGTAATTTGCTACCAAACATTGTCCTTTTTGTTCTTCATTCTGTTACATTTTTGCTCAATCTTATTTTAATCATGTCTAAGTCTTTATCTATGATCCACTGGGGATTGGTGGCAATGAAAGACAGGTGAATAAATAATTGGGTTTTTTTACTAAAACATCAAATGTATTAATCTGATTTCTTTCCCCAAGTCCTACATAAACTAGACTTTTATGTACTTCTAACTCTTGTAACTTTGGAAAGTAGCATGATATAATTATAGCTACAGATACTGACTGCATAACTATGCTTTGTGTGATGATGGACTTTCTAGGGTTTTTTTCAGTATCAAGAAGGTTATAATAGAAAGTAAATCTTGCTTAGGTGAAAACTGTATGATAAACTCCATATCTGCAATCATGAGATAAACCACACTGACTTTATCTGTCATCACATGGTCTCTTGCTGCTAATCCATCTGTCCCTAAACTTGACATTGCAGGTCCTTAAAATATTTTCTGTCTGCCCTGATCCCTTCATGCTCCAGCTCACATATATATATATAGTCAGAAAGTTTTTAACTGTCAGTGCCCACTGGAGCCATGAATCATTCCTTTTCCCCTTCACAATTGATTCATGATACATGTTATTAGAAAATAGCTTTAAGTCAGGCTATGTGTGGTATGACAGACTGAGGGAATGGGTGGCAGTGGGATTTGCAGTTATTATTGAAAATAGCTGCAAACTATCCTTTCGTGTGATTATTATGAGTGTTTTGTAAGAGAAATGCTCTCATCTTGTAGGGAATAATTTCTTAGGAGCTTGAGGTAAAAAGGAACAGTGTTGCTAAAAATAAAGAGGTCAAGTCTGATTTCTGTGTAAAGGATCAAAGAAGAGGAAGGCAGGAAAACATTTTATTTCTAGATAATTATTTGAATAATGTATTAATTTTCTTGTAGTTAAACACCAGAATATGCAGTAACATTTCTTGCCTCACTGCAAGACACACAGAGTTTTTGGGTTGGTTTTCATGTGTCTCTACTGGCATGGCCTGATTTGCTTATGTACGCCCACAGTCTGTTATTTCTGGGACATGAACATAAATCACTTCCAAATGCCACCTATTTATTTGTCACCTGAGGCTGATAGATATTCCTGCATTGGATAATTTATGGGTGCATGCATGCATTTATCTTTGCAGGGAGAAAATAAACCAAAAAAGTTTTAAAATATGTACTTAACACATAACATCAGTTAAGCTCTGCAGAACTGATGGAAAATATCTGCTTGCACTGCCCACTCAGTCTGCCAACACTCTTCCTTGCAGCAGTAAAAAAATATGAACAATATTTTAACTGTAATTACTGTACACAGTGTTAAATGAGATACCACCCACCAGCTGTCCAAAAAATGAAAGAATTGGAAAATAGAATTATTTCTCTAGTTATATGTGAGTTTGAGATGTATTTGAAACTAGGTTGTCCTCCCATGACCTTGTTCAAGAGGACTGGCACTTTATGGGCATAGAACTTTTTTTTCCTCTTTGCACTGTAATTTATTTTTCTCCTTCATGGTTCACACACTGTGCTGGTTCTACAGAGAATCATCTAAATCTGTCATATCCTCAGTCACCACAGCTACAGTGGATACTAAGGGCATTCCAAATTGGTAAATGGGATATAGTCAGGATTATTAATGTGAAAACTGGGTAAATCAGGAGTAATTTGCTTAAGTAATAGATTTAATCTGATTGTATATCCCCCATATAAGTCTATTTCATAGTGTCAGAAGAGTTCAGGTCCAAATAATATTTCCAGGATACAACTTGTGGGAAGAGTAGAGTTAGTAGCATTACAGTTAGTAGAGATAAGGAAATGGGAAGATAAATCACTATCCCTTAATTTTTCTCTTGGTTCTGTAATCTGTATTACAGATTCATTCTGCAAACAGCACATTCTGTGGATGCAGTGTTAGATTGGAGGGATTCTTTCCATAGTCATGGGGAAAGTCCTAGTCTGATCCTCAACTGAGTGTTATTTTCATGAGGCATTTTGCAAAACAGAAGCTTCACAACTGCCTTTAATAAAGATGCAGAAATATGGTGTGAAATTGTATTCACTGATAAGGATAATCATTATCTACAATGTGGTTTAAGGGTGTATAATGTCAGTCTGACATGCAGCCCAAGATTACAGCCCTTCTGGCCCCCTGAGATCATTAGAAGAGCAGCACTTGCCACCCTGGATCAGAGCAGTGTATGGCATGTTAAAGGCAATGTCCTGCCCTTTGCAGTGTCACACATTTGTGGCTGTAGAGGAAATGAAAATACCTAGAAAAGCACAAAATTAACAATGTAATGTTGTAGATAGTGACCTCTTTTTTTAAGTTTTTCTGTACTGATGAATAAGATTAATCCACTAAATGGCATCAAGTGCAGTGCACTTGTATCTATGATAGAGGTTATGATCACCAAGCTCCACTGAACTGGCAGCAGAATAGAGTGAGGCTTTGTTATTGTAGCCAGTAATATCCATTTTGATACCTTTTCTTAAATAGATTAATCCACTAAATGGCATCAAGTGCAGTGCACTTGTATCTATGATAGAGGTTATGATCACCAAGCTCCACTGAACTGGCAGCAGAATAGAGTGAGGCTTTGTTATTGTAGCCAGTAATATCCATTTTGATACCTTTTCTTAAATAGTTTTATTGTTACTGATTTTAATTTTTTTACCATGATTTAGAATTCAGAATTATTTTAATATTCATGAGGATTTCACCTGAAGGAGCTCAGCTGGTAACACAGCAGCAATCTGCAGCCAGTGGTCAAGCCTGTGTATTTGGGGAATTTATTAAAATATTCTTTGTGTGCCCATTGCATAGATTAAGGGTGTTAGGCAGCAGTGCAGAGTAAGCATCTAGGGCCAGGTCTTTGGAGCTATTTTAACTTGTGGGATAACCTTCAAATTGGCTGGAAGTTTACTTAGGATCACTGCCTAATATTGTGATGGTTATTTAAGTCATGCTCATCTCTTGGGAATCCTTTTCCTCTCAGACTGTAACTTGTCCACTTCAGGTACCTCTCTGCTGCCCACACCTAAGAACCAGTGCAACCTGTAGTTGCTTTGGATCTGCCCTTTGCTATCTTCTGCAGCAATGCAGCTCAGTTTCTGGCAGCTCTGTGAAGGGTTTGTCTTTATGAGGAGTGCTGGGATGGCCTTAGTCTCTTCTAGGTAAAAATGGTATTTAGAGAAGTGGTGCCATACTGAAGGGTGATATGCATGAATTATTGTTCAATAACCGTAACCCTTCAGATATTCTTATTGAAAGAAAAGCTTGGATAGAAGTTAGATAATTCTCTGTACAAAATACAGGTATTCTCAGTTGATATTTAGATTTATGGTGAGTATATTGGGTTCAGCTGCTGTATCTTGATGCTAAAGGTCAAAAAAGCTGCAGAGCCTTCCTCCTCATTGAAGTCAGGAGAAGCTTTAGGCAACTGATCTAAAAAGTTATTTGTGTGCTTCTTGCATGTGGTGTAACCTCCATTCCATAGCAGTCGGGTAGCTATAATATGCCATAACATATATGATTTTTTTTTTTGCTTCATTAATTTCTCGGCCTTAAAATAGTCTGATTTGAAACACGTGACTCACATTTTATCACTTATCTAGGAATTTTCTTTCCTGTTGTTTTGCTTATGTAGGTCCCAGAAGCCATAAGAAAGTGCCAGCGAGCTGGAATTACAGTCCGCATGGTCACTGGAGACAACATCAACACAGCACGTGCCATTGCCATAAAGTGTGGGATCATTCATCCAGGAGAAGACTTCCTCTCCC